CATCAGGTTTTTTTGTCTGTCTGTTTGTTTTTTGTTTTTGCGGTATGGGATTTGAATTCAGGGCTAGGTAAGTGCTCTATCACTTAGGTCATGTCCCAGCTGTTCTGGCTTTAGTTATTTTAAGATAGGGCCTTGTACCTTTACCTGGGTCAGCTTGGACTGTGAGTCTCCCACCTCTGCCGCCCATACAGCTGAGATTACAGATGTGACCACCAGGCCTGCTTGTTGGTTGAGATGGGGTCTTGTTAAACTTTTTGTCCAGGCCTTGAAATGTGTTTCTCCCAATCTCTGCTTCCTGAGTAGCTGGGATTACGGGTATGAGCCACTGCTAGAACTTCAGCTTTCTTAGAACTCCCTGCCAAAGCTTGTCTAGAGTCAGGGTTCCAACAGCTTGGCAGCGGTTTCTCATTGTGATTCGCTCAGGCCAGGTCCTCTCCTGGGTGTGTGTTGGTGTGTGAGACCGCCTCTGGAGCCCCCCAGACCGGTTCTGGCCATGTTGACCAGAAGCACACTGGTTGCCAAACCCGAGGATTGCTAAGGAGGCCCCAGGTCATCCTGAGGGGCCATGTCTTGACGCTGCAGGTGATGGGAACTGTCTCCTCCCTCTCATGCCAAGGGTGGCCCCTCTGTCTCCCAGAAAATGAGTTCCTGGGCTCCTGCCCAAACTCCTCCACTCAAACTCGGTTGAGAAAGGCAGCTGTGACCCACCGGGCCTATCAGTGAAGGAGCACGGCAAGAATGAAGGGCAAAGAGCTGCAAGGCGGCAGCTTTCCCTTGGCTTTTGGGCACGCTGTTTCTGGGCTTTGGGTTCCTATTGGAGAATGTGAGTGACGGCTTCAGATGGTGAGTGGCCATTTTGGACTTGCTGTTTGCACAAGGAAATCCAGGCCTCTCAGGTCCAGCTGCCCAGAGAGCTGCCCTTCCAGACCCATCCAGGTGGGTCTGTCACCCCGAGGCTCCATCCCCTTCTTTTCTCATCCTCCTTTCCTGTGCTCAGGGCCTCTCCACAACTTTTCTTCCTGCAAGTGGAGAATATTATTTGCTTCCTGGGATGCCAGCGTGAGACTAAACAAAGACTATCTGCTATGGACCGAATGCTTCCGACCCTCCAAAGTCTCTGTTGAAGCTCTAATCCCAATGCCATGGTAGAGAAATGAGGCCTTTTAGGCTGTGATGAGATCATCAGGGTGATCTCATCACTGAGATCCCATGTCCTTATAAGATAGCCCTGGCCAAGGAGGTGGCTCAGTGGTAGAGCACTTGCCTGGCGTGTACGAAGCCCTGGATTTGATCTCCAGCACTATCGCCATGGGAGGACACAAAGAAGGCAACCGGTTGCCTGCAAACCAGGAAGAGACCTCTCACCAGGGGACTGAATCGGCTGGCATTTTGATCTCAGAACCATGAGGGGCCCGTCCCTGTTGTGTGAGCCCCCAGTCTATGGGATTTCATACGGCAACAGAGCAAAGACTCCAGCAAATCCAAGCGAGCAGAGAATACTAGTGCAAAGCTTGCCGCCACAAAGGCCATCGTTACTGCACTTGGCAGAGGCTCCAAGTTAGGCAGCAGTGTGGGAAAGCCTCGAGGTAGAAACAGAGGCTCCAGTGTGTGATGGAGGCTGCTGGCTGGGGAGGATACAGACAGCTCCCTGGAAATGGGACAACCAGTGGGACAACCCCTTGGTCGGGGCATGTATTTATTTGGTCTCCCAGGTAGTTCTCAGTTAGAAGCAGGGGCAAGCTGTGAGTTAGGGACCAAGCCCTGACTGTTCAGAGCTGATGGCTATAGAGTTGTGGCGTGGCTTCGGTTGGTTGTTGCAGGTGTGGGTCATTTTTATTTTAAATTGTGGTCTGGCCGTTGTCTGTTTGGCTTGTTCAGTCTTTCATCCCAAGGACTCACCCCACATGCTAAAGGAGGAGGCCCAGGGAGTGTCTATGAACATCCTTCGGGCTCTGTTGCAACACTGGGGTTTTTTTTTAATAGGTAGGGGCTGCCTTAAGGCTACCAATCCCTTAATGAGCTCATTGCTTCTGGACTGTTAGGTCGGGTGGGAGAGGAGGGCGGTATTTTCAGGCCAGTGGTAGACAAGTCCACCACCTGCACATCTTTGTGAATGTGGTAGCCCTTGGCTGGGAAACACAATGAAGAGAGGCCCGAACTTGGGGAGCCCTGTGAAGGGTGGCCTGTGTGTAGGGGTGGTGGCCCCTGGACAGGGTGCTGAGCAGTTTGGAGGGACTTCAGGAGTTCCACAGCTATGTGGTGCTGAAATTTTATTTCAACATTTTAAAGACCGATCTAAAACTGAAATAAAAATACCACTTGACTGTGTGATAATAATACGCAGTTTGACACACAGGGAAGCTTGAGAGTTCTCAGGTCAAAGACAAAGGGTCCTAGTAGAGCCACCTGGCATCTTCCTAAAGCCATTTTAGAGCTGGGAGGAGATGGAAGGTCCACCAAGTGGGGATTGGAGAAGTCTCTGGTGATTGTGGTAGTGTCTGTTCTCAGGGCTGTCCCCAGTGTTTCCCAAAGTGGGAAATGTCCCTTCTTGTGTGAACCTTCAACTCCTGTCCACAAACCCAGCCCTGCCAGAAAGAGGGACTCAGCAGTGGAGAGGTGGGGTGGGGAGCTGGCCACCTTCTTGGTTGAGGCCCAGGGGGACTCATGGTGACACTAATGCGGGGGGCCGGGGGGAGGTGAGTGCATTCAACTCCCATGGCCTCTGCTGCTTCCAATTTTTAAAAATCTGCTACTTTTGAATCTTGATCAAAAGGGCAACCAGAGTCAGCTGGCCCAGCCTGGGCAGCCCGACTCTGACTAACCTGTGTCTCTGAGCTGCTCAGTGATGAGGAAGTCATTATACAATCTATACCTTGCATTCAGGAAGGGCTTGAGTTAATGACAAAATGAATGGATGGCTTTCCGACAGATGGAGCCATTTTTCTACACCTTTCTAGTGGGCAGTGCTGTGGCCCACTGGAAACCCATCTTTCTCTGCATCTCTACACCTGTCCACACATAACCGAGATTCCATTTCTCTGACTGATTTGGGACTTGAACATAGCTGGTCAGTTGTATTCTTCGTAACTGTCAACAAGGCTGCTACCACAGGTCAGTATGGTTTAAACTGATGCAAACCAGGCTTTTTATGCATCAGCCTGGGGGGTGCTGGGGAGACAATGAGTGCTTTAAACATGTCTCAAAGCCTTGCCTTTCTAAGGTGAGATGGTGGAGGAGAAGCAAGAAAAGAGCAATCGAGTGGTAAAATAATGTTTTATTCCATGGACGGGCAGATGCCACCATGCCACATCCCACATCCCTTGGACTGGATCTTGCGGCCAGAGCTGGCCTCCCCATTCGGACCTTGCTGACTCTGCAGTGGTGAGGCCCACTGAAATAGCGAAAGCAGGGTCCTGCAGCTTCCAATCAGTCCTGTTCTCCAGCACATTGATCCTTTTCATGAATGGTGACATGTCACCTTTAAAAAAATCCTGTGATGAGATCTTCCAATGGACCTAACTAGAACTGACATTTGAAGCTTGCACGGATGGAACCAAAGCCCCCAAACACCAAAAAAGTGACATGGACACATCTCCTTAGAGGACAGGATGTCAAGGACACCCTTGGCAGGACCAGAAGCTGGAGAAATCAGTACTGACATTCAGGTTGTCAACAAGCCCAAGAGGAAATGATGGTAATTGATATATTTCAAACTAGCACTCTGGAGAGTCCAGCAGCCAAAGAGGTGTCCGCATGCAAGCTCAACATGAGGCCAGCACTGTGGATGGGGACTGCACGAATGCCGGACACACACTCCTTGCTTTATGTACAACAAATGAAATATACACTGAGAATGGTGGCTGTACATCTGGTCAGCGTGTGTCTTACAAGGCTGACAGAGCACCACCAACTCCCTGCTGGAGCAGAAGGGAAGAAGCCATCCCTGGGCTGGAAGTGACCCAGTCCCACCCTTCCTTCTGATGCCTGTGACCCAGGCTTGCTGAACAGACCTGGGGTGGAACTGACACTTCGTCTTCTCATAATTTTTAACCAGATGTCGCCTGGAAAGACTCCACCAACATCAAAGAGGAGAAGGGTGATTTTAAGGCCATTCTAAACGGCGATGAGGTTCTACAGCCAAATCCCAAAGTGGCTCAGTGGGAGAGCAGTTTTCCTCATGGATTTTCTCTTGGTGAACCCTGCATGCTTTTCCTCCCTTGGTGTCTGAGATGCTTTCACAAAGCCTGACAATGCTGAGAGCAGTTTACTCCTGATAGATTTCTTTATCCAAACAAGTGCAAAGTGGAAAGCAGAACAATGCAACAAAAGAAAAAGAAAAAGCACAGCAAAAACAACCCCACGAGCAGAGACAATGGAGCATCAGGTTAAAACCATAGAAAAATACAAATTAATTCTATACAGTTAACCATTGGCATAGCTACATTAATACTTTGTACACGAGAGGGCTGTTTGCTGGGTGCAGACGTGAACAGCGTGGAGCCTCCTAACTACGGAAAGGAACCAGTCATATATGAACATACACTGTGCCGTACTTGCTCCCATGGCACAGTTGCGTCAGGCAGGACGTCAGACAGGATGCACCACTGTGACCAATTGCTAACACAGAGGGTGGGTCTTAATGCTACCGAGTGAAAGCGTGAATTAAGGGCCGATTTCCTTGGACTCAAAGTGGGCCGTCACTGCCATCTGTCCTTCGCTTTGTCCCTTAGGGGAGGGACATGGGATGTGCCAGTCTCTGGGGGCCAGGAGGAGGCAATGCTGCAGAGGTGGGGTGTCCCAGGCTGTATGGTGACGCCTCCCTCCTGGGAAGGAGCTTGTTTCCCACGGCAATCCAATCTGCCTTCCGTGTTGAGACACACATGCTATGGAAAGTCAACACCTCTGCCCCACCTGCCCTCGGAGGGAAGAGGGGCAGTGGGGAGATTCCTCAGTTGCATATTGCAGAAAGAGCCACGTCTGTGCTTGGGGCTAACATGTGCTTAGTCCTCTTCCTCATCCTCTTTCACTGTGGCTGTTGGTAGCTTATCCTGGATCCTGAAGCACTCCACAAAGAAGTTGATGATAGATCGGTACAGGTGCTTTTTGAGGTCAGGGTTGTGGAAGTAGTGGCTTTCATCTGGGTATATCTGTGAGGAAGGCAGGAGAAGTGACTCACTTACCATCTACCCTCCCAAAAGGCCTGGGAGGATGCACAAAGGATGTGGAGCCTAGGAAAACCCATGCCCTATGCAGGTCTCAATTCTAGTTGGCAAAATGAATCTCCTAAACAAGTCAGCCCCAGCCTAAGTGCCTTTTCCTCTGGAAACTGCCTTCTGCCCCAGGTAGATGGGCCCCTTGGTCCGGTAGCATGGGGGAGGCCACTTTGCCCTCACCAACGGCAGTGGGCACTTGGTGAGAATTGGTTGCACAAAGTCAGAAAATATCTCATCAGCAGAGCTTTTGTGGTCTAGGTCTGCTTGTCTAAACTTGCAACCTGGACACTTTTCAGGGTCTACAGAGGCTACAACCCAGGTCTGGAGGACATCAGGACTGAAAAAAAAGAGGAAAGAATTCTGTGCTACCTCAGTAACCCCCAAGAGTGAGAATGAGCCCTGAGGCACTGCGTCCTGACTTCATGCATGGATCTTTGTACCCTGGCACTGCTTTGTACCTTACTCAGGCTCTAGGTGTTGGCGGTGGGGGGGGGAGGAGAATTGTAAAAGTCTGACACATAATGTTCCATGAGAGATAAATGAGGCAATACCTGCAAGCACTTAGAGTGATGCCTAGGACATGAGAGGGCTGTCAGGGTTGGTCCTGCTGGTTACTGATGCGAGCATGGTTAGCTCATTAGTCTACGGCCAGTGCAATGACACCACCTGTCCACTGGGGGCAATGTGGCAATCACACACATACACGCACATCCAAAGCCAAGTCTAACCTGGAAGCCCATTCTTTCCATGATCCCAGCTGCCCCTGCATTTTGAATCCTGTCTTCCTCTCGTGTCTTTCAGGGTGGCACTCACCTTTATTCTATTAATGATGTCATTATGTTTGTATATGTACATTAAAAGAGCCATCTGTACAAGTGGGAAGAGAGTAGAATGTCACTCCCCTCTTGTCTTTGTCCTCTGTCCTCTATATCTCACCTGGAGCTGGTCAGGGCTCAAAACTCATTGAGTGTTAGGACGTCTGTCGTGCCTGCACCCATACTCCAGGGGGTTTTATTGGTGCAGGTGGAGCTGGTGATACATTCTGTTGAGCACTCAGTGCACATCCTAGGGGTGGCCCTCAGCCATATACACAGCTGACTTTCAATCTACCAGGACTCCATCATGAGTACAAAATGTACTCAACATCCCCATGGCAACTGTCCAGTTTATTATGATCTTAACGTTTTTCACAAGGAAATTCAGATTAATATAGCTAAGTCCTTCCATCTTATTCATCAACCCTTGAGCCAAATTGTTGGCAGCTCTTTCTGACCCTCCCTGCCCACAGGCAGGTGGTGGTCATAGTCAGGCAGGCACTCTCTGAGGGACGCAGGGTAATGGCTGAGTTCCCATTTATTTCTGGACCCCAAAAGACAATGAGGTCATAACTGTTTTACCAAAGAAACCAGAGGGCAAGAAGGAAATGGAAGAAGTTTCCAGAATCAGCCCTGTGTATTGCTGGAAAGAGTCACTAATGAGGTCAGGCTTCAAATCTGGCTCCTGGGAAGAAGAGCAGTGCCTTGTGCAAGACATACAAGGTGCTAGGACATCCTGACAACAGTGTCCAGAGGGAGCCAGACAGAGAAGGCTCAGGACTTTTCAATGCAGGGCACTAGCTATCTCCCCACCACCACTGCTGGGTGGTACATGGACAGGCTTGACCTTGCCCAGAGGAGGGGCATCAGGAGGGGTGGAATGGGGCATTGTGGTGCATTTCCCAAGGGGCTTAGCCATGGCCTGAGTGTGGAGCCAAGCTCCCATCACTTAGAGGAAAAAGGAACCATGTGCTGATTTGTCTGATCAAATGTGCGCAGTCTGCATGGACAGCCCAAGCACAGGGGTCTGCTGATCTGGGCGTGCTGGACACCACTCAGTCCTTTCTCCATGAGCATGCATACGGTACCTGTAAGCTGTAATTAGCTTTATCCTTAATTAGCTGTGTAATGAGCTCTGCTGTGTGCTGGAAATGGATTTTTTCTGTAAAAGAAAGCAGAGGCAAGTGTTGTGAAACACGTAACACCATCCAGGAGGATGCCATCAGCTGCAGGGAAGGGTCTTGGTCCTCACCGTCAGCAGTGGCATGGATGAGCAGGAACTGCTGTTCCTCCAGTGCTGACACTCGGTGTGCCACCTTGGTCATCTGCACATGTGGGGGGCAAGGGGACAGGGTTAATGGCAGTGCAGTAGCAGGTGTGTTGTTGGAACCTGATTGAGACTAAACACCAGGTCCCAGCAGAGCTGGGCTGCTTCGTATTATAACAAAACACAGAAAGTCTCAGAAGCCTCCCTCTGTCTTCCCAACACCAGCTCCTCTTAGGAGAGAGGGGAGTGAGGCGCAGAAGGGAGAAAATAAAAGTTTCTACAATGACAGGTGGTCTCAGAGGATCATCATGTCACTGAGTGCCACTGGAGGTGGGCACCTTGGACAGGCTCAGCTCCTCTGTCCACATGGAAATCACAAATTTCAAAGCAGAGTCCTGCCTGATCATAGAACTCTGGCCTTCACCCAGGCCCAGTTGATTTGCCATGACTGACATCCCAGTGGAATGGCTCGGATGTAGTCAGGAGAGCAGTTTTCTGCTCTTCCTCAATAGCCCACTCCAAAAGGAGAATTAGCTTCAGGGTGGAGCTCAGGAGCCGTGATCCCCAGCATCTCTATGGGCCTGGTACAGAACCTCCCCCCTGCCCAATGCTTTCTCCCTCACCCCTCACGTCAGATCATGGGGACATAAGGTGAGAGAGGCCATATTAACCCAATTCACAGTGTGGTGGGAGGCTGGTCCAGAAGTTTCTAAGCAAAAAGGCTTTGATGATAGAGAGGCACAGGCTCTGGCCATGGAAAGCAGAGTGGCTGCAGGGTTGGGATGGCTGGAAGGTGGAAATGAGGAACGGGAAGAGGTTGTCCTATTTCACCCAGTTCCCTGTTGTGCCAAATGGCAGTTGTGCCACACGTACCTCATAGGCTCTGTTGTCAAGTCCATGGAGACCCAGGTACCGCTCAGAAAATGCTGATGCTGCATGGAAGCAGAGGGGGAGTCATGTCTTCTCTAGCCCCATCAGTGTAGACACCAGACTAGAGACTGGGGCAGGGAGTGGGGGCCACTCAAGCCACTTGCATGGCAAATGTTGGTTTCTCAAAATATCATCTAAGTCTCTTGGGTTGTTGTGGGAGCCGCCAGAGAGCACAGCAGTGATATTCAATGTGTTAGCCTTGGTGGATGACTTTTTTATCAGTGCAGCAAAATTGGAATCAAGAAAAACCCAATCTATCTGAATCCTAAATAAACAGGACAGTATTCCACTTCATTTTAACATCTACAAAAAGGAACATGTAGTAAGACAGCAAATTTCCATCAGGATTTACTTATTTTCTTTAAAGAAAAAAGTGTCAAGGCACATCCCTGCCCAGTCCCAAACTGGCTCCAAGTGGAGGCTCTGCAGCAGGAACTGGTGCCTGCCAGATGCTAAAGGAAGATGAGGTGCCACTCCAGGGCTGCCCTGGCTCTCCCCAATACCACAGGGCTTCTGGGGAAACCTTCGTGGGCTCTGTGCTACGAGTTATGGCAAGGTGGCTCGTCAAGACACAGTGTTGCCCTGGGTTCCATCCATAGCTCCACAAAAAATAAAATGTTAAAAAAAAAAAAAAGGAAAAGACATAGGCAGTCCTATTTATATGCCTTTGAATCAGGGAAATTTGGAGCAGCAGGAAATTAAAGTCTCATTGAAACAGAAAAATGGAAAACATGCCACACTTATTCCCCCAGGAAAATTGTTCTTATTCAAATGCTGAGCCAGGAGAGGTCTTGTAGAATTAGAAGTTGAAATTTGCATTAGGAAAGCTTGTCTCCTCTATTATGAGACTCTGAAGCTGCTGGACCCTGGATTGCTGTGTGGGGTCCACAGTGCAGAGATGGGGCTGTGGGGCCATGGGGGGTCACGGTGATGGGAGTAAAAGGGAGCACCACCCTTCTCCAAGGCTCTGCAGAGCCGTGACAAGATGCCCCCTCTGCTCCCGGCATTGCTTAGCGTGGGATCCACTGGGGTCCACAGCCTGGCCGCCCTGCTGCCCTGACCCAAATGTTCATTCTCAGAGCCATAAAAAGACTTTTCTGCACATTAAAAAATTTAGTTAGTATCACAAAGACATTTAAAATCAGAGACAGGGGGCAGAGAAGTTGGGGGACCATGTCTGCCTGGGTGGAGGGCTGCTTCCCATCCCAGGGTGGTCTCACCTCCATATGGTCCCCACAGCAAGTCATCCTGACAACATGTCTCCTGCCTCTGGCTCTGGGCCACAGAAGGCCACTCTCTCCAAGCAGAGGTCTCAGCCAGGTGCTATCCAAATGGCCAGGGAAGGAGGCTGGGCAGAGCTGAGCTCTTTAGATTCTATTCTGCTGATTCAGCATTCCATAGCAATGGAGTCTCACTCAACCAGCCCATCCCTTGTCCCTTCACAGCTGCCCACCAAACACATTCTGGCAGCAAAGGGGATAGAAGGGCAGTCCAGGGGATCCCGACAAGACTCTCCTAACTCCACTCCTGCAAGCTGAGCCCCTCTTTCACTGGCCTTATATGTTGGGAATGTGATTTGTAGGCATTAGGGGATTGACTGCTTTCACTTAAAACAAACACTTGCTACTCTCCCTCCTTCCCCAGGGCTTTTGTATATGCTGGGGTGCCTGAAGTTAGAGGCAGAGACAAGAAGGTGGGGGCCGTGAGGTGGGACTCAACTCCTTTCTCATCAAAGCTATTACCGTAGAGTTTGAAGTCTGTTATTGGAGAGAGAGCAGAGCCGCAGGTGAAGGTCTGACCTTGATTCTCACCCTTCGCTGGGAGGATGTAAGTGCTCAGGTACCCACCGTAGTCCTGGGAGGATCACAGAGAGATGATGGGGAGCAAACGTCCATAATTCATCATGAAACCACCCCAGACACAGGCCGGTGACTTTGGCAAATATTTTCATATACTTAAAAAAAAAATTTGAACTTTAAAATTTCTTGCAGGGCAGTCAGGAGACTCAATATTGTGATGCAAGTGTCCCCCTCCCCTGGCTCTGTGTCACACGCTGGTACCCAGCGGTCCAACCCAGCATTCCTTGCAGCCGCTTTTCCACCTTCCTGTCTGCAGGCAAGGCCAGTCCATTTTCACGATCTGAGGGAGGTTGAAGTGGGACCACGCCAGTGGGGTGGAGAGCAGCTTGCACGGCGCTCAGCCCAGGGCTGCATGAGACATCACTTGTTCCGTAAGTGGGGTGAGCGCCCAGCCCCCATGTGCCCCTCACTTGGGTTGGCATAAGGAGCCCACCCCAGTGTGCGTCTCCCAGGTAAAGCCTTACACCACCACTTGCATGGCCCCTTGAAAGCTCTTGGCTCAGGGGGCTGCAGTCTCCTGAAGAAGAGCCAAGGACAATGGGACAGACACTATGCTTTGATGACCAAAGCATTGATGACCCAGGCAAAGGCCTGGGAAATAGCATGGGGTGCTGCCAGTGTGTGAGTGTGTGCATGTCTGTACAAGCGAATATGTGAGCCGTGCGTGTGTGAACCTGTGTGTCACATGTGCATTTGTGTGCGTACGTGTGTATAAGCACGTGAGTGGAAGCATGTGTGAACGTGTGTGTGTACGTGTTATTTTTAGCATGCATGATAGGATTATGGATGTGTGTGAGACTATGGTTGTATGCACGTGAGCCTGTGCACCTGTGTGAGCACGTGACCCTATATATGTGAGTATAAACACATATATGTAAGCACGTACGTATGTGTGAGAGAACGTATGTGTGAGCGTGTGGTTGTGTGTGTGTGCAGATGCGGGCCTGTGTGTGCTGGGCTTGAGGGTGTGGAGCATGAAGAACTCACACATTTGATGGAGGCTGGGTGAAGCCTGCATCACGCCGAGCTTACTGTTGGTAATGGCACGTGGCCTGTCTTGTCCGGGTTTGTCTCCTTATAATATACTTCAGCAGTGTTGCTTTACTGGAGTAGGAATATCTTGTCTTATTGACAATAAAGTCTTTTCCCTTTCCTAAGTTGCCCAGGTTGGCCTTGAACTCTCGATCCTCCTGCCTGAGCCTCCCAAGTGCTGGGATCACAGACATGTGCACCACACCTGGCTCCTCATTTTCTGGCAGGTGATGTTTACTGTCGAAGGACTCCACATGTCCTTAAAGCCAGTCTGCAGTTCTTCGAGGAGGCTTATGGCCACTTGGTCTTAAATGAGAGCCCAGCAACATTCCACAGGGGCAACCTGGAATCTCAGGCCAGACTCACAGGACACAGCCCACAGCGTCCCTCGTGTGTGTGAAATGAATGCCGTGTGCCTGGGGTCCCACACTGCGTGAAGAAGGGATGTAAAGAGCCCGGCTGCACCAGAACTCACGTAAGTGGGCACAGAGAAAACAAGGGAGAGGTTGCAGAATGACAGCAACTAAAAGAATTAACAGCTTCATTTCTGGATGGGCCCAGAAAAAATCTAAGGAATGGTAAACAAAGCAAAGCAAAACAGAAAAACAAAACAAAACAAAACAGCCCCTGTCACTGGAGTCACCACTCCAGCCTCTTGCTCATCAAGAAGTAACTGTTCCCCACAACTCCCAGCCACAGGTGGCCCCAGTGACTCAGGAAGAGCCAGTGATGATGGCTCCACCCTCATGTGTAAGGCCGTTTGGACAGAAAACAGCACAAACTCACCTGCCCAAACACAGCCACCCTTGTTTTGTCAATGTATGCCTCCTTCAGCATCGTCCTGCAAGGTCAGAGGGGAGGAGAGACTGAGAACTCATGAAGTTGTGCTTTGCATGCCATGGCCCACAGCTGTGCTGACCAGCCACTGCAAGCATGAAGACTCCTCTTTAGATAAGAAGGAATCTTGGGGTGCTAAAAGCATTGCTTAGTGCTTTTATTTATCTGATCTACAATATGTTCATAACAAAAACTCAAAGCTCCCTTGCCACACCTCTGGGGATCTGCCAGGTGCAGAAAGCTGCCTGACTGAGAAACACTCTTCCAGCACACAGGGACTACCATGCCATGGGAGATCCAGCCCTTTTGGCTGTCTTCCTGCTGCTTTTCACCCTTTGCATTGGAAGCACACAGCACAGAGGCACACAGCGGGCTCTGGTGGTTCTCCAGGGTCAGCACATATCAAAGGAGCCCTTGTTCTTCCCCGTAGTGCTTATAAAGTGAAGCAGCTAAATTCATCCCGTCATGGTACCCTGCACAGTATTTTTTGCATCTGTTTGGCCACAGACTCACTCTTTTCTCAAGCTTCCTGCCATGGCCCTGCCTTGACAGTGAGCAGCTTGCTCTCCAGACATTGCTGGGGCTCTGCTTCATCCTCACCAGACTCTCCCCACCTCCCCCATTGTGGTCCCTGTGTCCCCAAAGTGATGGAATTATTCTGGTTTCTGGATCTGAGCTCAGTGGCGGTCCTGCCCCTGTGTGGCTGCTTTCCTTCCACGATCACTACCATTAGCGCCTCCTGCCCCCTCACTTCGCTGGAGTCCACTTTCTCTTCACTTCTTGATTCCTTCCTTGTTTCTGTTTCCTATCTTCTGTCAAATGGATGGGCCATCCCTATCACTTGTGTCCTTCTCAGCAGAAGGGGCATGAAGCCTTGGACCCCAGGAGCCCATCCTCTACCAGCGAACTTACCAAGGACCCAGGTCCAGGACAAGGGAGGGCTTCACATCAAAACAGTTGCTGGCACCAGAGGAAAAGCACACAGCTTCCTCCTGGGTTGTGCCCCAGTTTGGAATAGTAATGTGCAAGAAGAAGCAATTTCTTTGACTTATGAATGCTATAAAAATTCAGGTGACTTCCTGCATCTTTTTCATATAGTGCTTTGTTTTAATATAACCAGCTTCCCCCAGGCTATTTTTTTAAAAAGTGGTGATCCCTGCATGCTATGTCCTGGTTTAAGTGTCATTACTATTTCAGAATGCTATGTGAGTGCATGAAAAGAGAAAGCTGCCTCTTCTTCCTCTGTATCCCTCCTTCTCCTCCTGCTTTATCAACTCATTATCCAGTCACTGGCTATCTGCCACTGGAGGGACTGTGCTAAGTCTTGGGGTGAGTGCTGGAATGATCTATATGCCTTGTCTTTCAGAAGTTTCTATCCTCATAGTCAGGATCCCTGTGTACAATTCTGGCTCAGCCACAAGGAGCAATGGGACTTTCAGACTGCCACTTAGACTTCCAGGGTCTCAGAAGAAACCGAACAGGCTCCTCACATGGGACACTGTGCTCAATGGCGGGCAGGCACACAGGTGGGACCCGGACAAGCAAATCGAGGGCAAGCTGTGTTACAAACAGTACCTCCCCTAGCCTGACAATCAGGCAACCAGGGATGTGCTGCCTCCATAGGAAGAACTGAGCATCCTAGATATGCCAAGATAAGCCCAGACATATCTGGGGTCCCACTAGGAATAGAAGGAATGTTCCTCAACATAATAAAGGATATGACAAACCTACAGCCAACATCATACCAAATGGAGAACAATTGAAACCATTCTTGCTAAAGTCAGGAATGAGACAAGTATATCCACTTTCTCCACTCTTATTCAATATAGTCTTAGAATTCCTAGCCAGAGCAATAAGACAAGAGCAAGAACTGAAAGGGATTCAAATACGGAAGGAAGAAGTTAAACTATCCCTATTTGCAGATGATATGATCCTGTGAAAAACCCTAAAAACTACAACAAAAAACTCTGAGAAATCAAATACTTTTGGCAAAGTAGCAGGATAGAAAATCAATGTACAGAAATGAGTAGTTTTCCTTAATACCAACAACACACAGGCTGAGATAGAAATCCGGGAAACAATCCCATTTACAATAGCCTCAAAAAATGAAATACCTAGGAATAAATTTAGCAAAGGAAACCAAAGACCTTTTCAATGAAAACTACAAATCACTGAAGAGAGATATTGAAGAAGACATCAGAAGCTGGAAAGAGCTCCCATGCTCGTGGATCAGCAGAGCCAATATTGTGAAAATGGCTATACTACCAAAAGCAATCTACATGTTCAAAGCAATCCCTATCAAAATTCCAATGACTTTCTGCACAGAAATAGAAAAATAAATATTAAAATTCATACGGAAACACAAAAGACCTTGAATAGCCAAAGCAATCCTGAGCAAAAAGTCCAATGCTGGAGGTATCACAGTATTTGACTTCAAGCTATACTACAGAACCATAACAATAAAAACAGCATGGTATTGGCACAAAACAGACAGGAAAACCAATGGATCAGATTAGAAGACCCAGACATAAACCCATGCAGCTACACTGTTCTTCAACAAAGGATCCCAAAACACACGATGGAGAAAAGACAGCCTTTCAACAAATGTTGCTGGGAAAACTGGATATCCATATGAAGAAGACTTATATGCCTTCCACCCTGTACCCAAATCAACTCAAAATGGATCAAAGACCTTAATATGAGGCCTGAAACTTTGAAACAACTCCAGGAAGTCATAGGAAATATATTGGAGCATATAGGCATAGGGAAGGACTTCCTAAATAGAACTCTAATAGCTCAGCATCTAAGAGAAAGAATGAACAAATGGGACTGCATCAAACCAAAAAACTTTGGCACAGCAAAAGAAACATCACTAGATTCAAAAGACAGCCCAAGGAATGGGAGAAAATCTTTGCTAGCTACTTGTCTGATAAGGAACTAGTATCCAGAATCTACAGGGAACTCAAAAAACTTTATCCCCAAAGAATCAACATTTCAATGACAAAATGGGCACATGAATTGAATAGGAAATTCTCAAAGGAAGAGGTACAAATGGATAATAAATATATGAAGAAGTATATAACTTCCCTGGCTATAAAAGAGATGCAAATCAAAACTACACTAAGATTTCATCTCACCCCAGTTAGAATGGCCATCTTCAAGAGCAAAACAACGACAAATGCTGGTGAGGATTCGGTGAAACAGGAACCCTTATACACTGTTGGTGGGAATGCAAATTAGTACAACCATTATGGAAAGTAGTACGGAGATTCCTTAAAAAGTTAAAAAGATCCAGTGATACCACTCCCGGGAGTATATCCCAGATGCCCTACACCTGATGAATGGGTTAAAAAATGTGGTATGTATATAATGGAGTTTTACTCAGCCATAAGGAATAACGACATGTGGTTTGAAGGTAAATGGATGCAATTGGAGGACATCACGTTAAGTGAAGTTAGCCAGGCTCAGAAAGACAAAGGTCACAGGTTTTCTCTCACATGTGGGAGATAGATCCAAAGATAAATGTACACATAAAAACAAACATGACCATAGATGAACTCGTCTGCAGAAAATATTTGTAATAGTGGAACTACATTATGGGTCTTGGGGGAGGAAGGAAAAGAAAATGGTAGTGTCCCCAGCACTGACGAATGGATTAAGAAAATGTGGTATCTATACACAATGGAATTTTATGCAGCCATGAAGAAGAACGAAATGTTATCATTCGCTGGTAAATGGATGGAATTGGAGAACATCATTCTGAGTGAGGTTAGCCTGGCCCAAAAGACCAAAAATCGTATGTTCTCCCTCATATGTGGACATTAGATCAAGGGCAAACACAACAAGGGGATTGGACTTTGAGCACATGATAAAAGCGAGAGCACACAAGGGAGGGGTGAGGATAGGTAAGACACGTAAAAAATTAGCTAGCATTTGTTGCCCTTAACGCAGAGAAACTAAAGCAGATACCTTAAAAGCAACTGAGGCCAATAAGAGAAGGGGACCAGGAACTAGAGAAAAGGTTAGATCAAAAAGAATTAACCTAGAAGGTAACACCCACGCACAGGAAATCAATGTGAGTCAACTCCCTGTATAGCTATCCTTATCTCAACCAGCAAAACCCCTTGTTCCTTCCTATTATTGCTTATACTCTCTCTACAACAAAATTAGAGATAAGGGCAAAATAGTTTCTGCTGGGTATTGAGGCGGGGGAGCGGGAGGGGGTGGAGTGGGTGGTAAGGGCGGGGGTGGGGGCAGGGGGGAGAAATGAACCAAGCCTTGTATGCACATATGAATAATAAAAGAAAAATGAAATAAATAAATAAATAAATAAAAATGACAAGAAAAAAAAAGAAAGAAAATGGTAGTGTCAACAATATCACATTTGCACAGGTCGAGGACAGAACACTATGCACTGAAAGCTGCTGAATAATGGGGACTGGGAGAGTAACGGGGGTCAAACTGACCCACGCAAAGCATATTCACAGCTGGGATACATTGAGAAACCCCTCTGAACACTGACTTTGGAATCAATAACAAAACAGGACTATAAAATAGGTAGAGGGTGTGGGGAGCACTTATGGGAAAGGGAGGTGGATAGAGGAGAAGAAGGAAGGAATATAGTTGATGGCCTTCATATACATAAAGGAAATAGAAATATGTAACCTCTTGTAATTGCTTTAAGTGGAACCTGGAAGGGGTGGTGGGTGAGGGGAGATGGAGGAGGCAAATTGTCACAAATCCTGATGATGAGTACAATGAGTAGATGCTAACAAAATGGGAAAAAGATACCATTGAAAAAAAGACCTGGGGTCTCCTCAGGGAGGGACCCAGATGTTCTGACCACCCCAGGTCAAGCCCTCCTCTCAATAGGTAACACTTTAACAGGGGCGCACAGGCAAGCTCTGAGTGTCTTTAACCCACAGAAGATAGGGCAGTGTGCTTCATCAGAAATCTAAGTTTCCAAATGAGAGAGCACAAACCAAACCCAAACAACAGCAACAA